AACAAATATACAATAATAAACTTAATGTGTGCACAAGTAAATCAACAGAAATGCCCCTGTCAGAATTCCAGAGAAAACCCTTTTTTTTCAAAGAACATATGGCTTTCATCTTCCTGTGTGGGTTTTCCAATGTTTTCTGTTTTTGGTCTCACAGCTCCAAGACATTTCTCCTTGTTGACCTGCAGAAAAACTGACCACGTTAAGATTAGCTCCACTGAAACAAGATAAGGTAGAAAATGAGAGTATGGATTGCTTCTTAAATCCATGCTTTATTAAAAGTGGACTTGCTGGCTTTTCTGATCTCTTCAGATTATCTCAGTAAGGTTCTTGCTGCAGTTTGCAGACAGTCCTATCAGAATTTCTGACTTACCTAATTTCGTCTACTGCTGAATGTTTGTCGTCTGGCTGCTTGTTTCGTGTTCTGCCTTTTCCAATACTRTTTTTTTAATCCATGTGGCTTTAGAACCAACAGCTTCTGAGTTGCAGCATGTGGGCTGAACTAAGGTTGGACCTCACAAAATGCAGACCTGCCTGTGTTTTGTTCAGTAAATATTTTCAAGCATTGAAAAAAGAATGATTGAAGTTGCTAAAAAAATGATCACTTGTTATGTGACATTAATGTTTCTTCTGATTGTACTGCGTACTAAGTGAAGCAAAATCTAATAAAGCCCAAATGTTTTTTTTCCTCTCAGAGTGAGAATATTGAGGAACCAGAATATTATCCACTGCAGACATAAGACTGTTTAGGCAAGACCAAGATTTTTGTTGTATTACAAATATTCATCTAGTAGTTTTATGTGTATGATAAAAACTGATTTGGATTGGTCAACACTTGAGGTTTTTTTCCTTGTAGCAAAGTACATTACATTGCATAAATCCAACGAAACCAGATTTTATTACATTTTAACACCAAAGATTCAATGATAATACAATTGTTCTTTTTTTCCCACACTCATTCTCCTTTTTAAATATGATGATGCAGGTTGCACTTTGTGTGACAAAGATGCCTCACTGCATCATAACTTGCATATAAATGTGATTATCTCAGTGTTTAACATGGCTGATTTGGYCAAAGAAACCAATATGTTTGCAATAGGTGGTGAGTCGAGGCATTGGCTCAAGACCTGTACACCATCTTCTACTGTCATTTGAAAATGGTAGTATTTTGTTCTCATTTAAATTATAAAATACATTAAATAACAAAAATATAAATGGGTGGGTAGGGATCAAACCTTTT